TATCTTTTTTACTTCTTTTTTAACTTTATTACCTTTTAGATTATAATTACAGCTAATTATATAAGTAGAATCTACCTATTTAGATATTATAAAAAGCTATAGAAAAGAAAATAATAATATTACTTTACTAAATAAAAAAAAGCCTCCAGTTTTAACTAACTCTCTTTCTGCTATATATATATTTAATAATATTAGCTAAAAGATAATATTAAATAGCTAACTTAAAAATAATTTATTAAATAACTTACCTACTTATAATAACTTAAATGATAAAAATAATACATAGAAAAATTCTTCTAAGCTTAATTTAATATATACTACTACTTATATAAAACTTACTATTATTAATATTAATAGAAATAGCTCTTAACCTAAAATTAAATTAAAGAAGTTAGAAAATAAAAAATTTAAAAACTTAAAAAAGCTCTAGAAATATTAAAAGTAATAGTTATAATAACTCTTTTTTAATAATAAACTAAAAAGAACTAGGTATATAATATTTAAATTAACTTTTAAAGTAACTTTTAAAATAACACTTAAAATATAGTATTTTAATCTTAAATTTATTAAACTTTAAAACTAAAATAACTAGAAAAAGTAAAAAATTTATTAGAGTATATATAGTTATTATTAGCTTAATTAAGTAATAAAAAAAGAGATTAAAAGTAATTTCTTATTAAAGAAATACTATTTACTATTTATTAAGATTTAAATTTATTTTAACTAGCCTTTTATAATTTTAACTAAATAAATAAATAAATAAAAAAACTTTAATATCTAGATTAATTACAGGCTGCAGGTTAATACTAAATATATTAAAGATATAACATAGTAATTTTTAGGTAAAATTAAAAGAAATTATATAAAGATACCTCTTTAAAGTTAAGATATTTATCTTTTAATTTTTAAGAGTTTATATTATATATTATAGTTTATATAAATAGCTAAGTAATTAGAAAGTAATTCTATATAAATTAATCTAGAGGAATTTTTATTACTATATACTAATTAACTAGTACTTAATAAAAAATATATAAAATATACTTAGAATTAAAAAGATAATATTATCTTAAAGTAGACCTCTAGTTATATTAAATTAAAATAATCTAAATTCTATAAATAATTTATAAAAGCCTAAATCTTATAGAATCTTTAATATTAAGCTGAAATTAGTAATTTTTTAATTTACTTTTACCCAATTTTAATTAATTCCTTTAAAGTTAAACTTTTTATATCCAGTTTTATTCCAGGCTAGTAAGGTAGTTAACTTAACTTAGAAATCTTACTATACTATTAAGGTCTTCTGGTTTCTACAACCTCCCCAAAATAAATTATAAACTTTAAGCTGTATCTTTTAATAAGCCTATATTATAGAAACTGGTGTTTTAAACTTATGGTTCTTTAGCTCTTATTTAGTCTGTCCCTCTAAATAGTTCATGCAGAAAACCGTTAAATATTGAACTATTGCAACAAGTTTGCCGGGTAAATATAGTTACTAAACTATAAAAAGAAAGGACTAATTCTTTATATATATATTCAATAGTCACCAAGTTAACTACAATATATAGTATACTGTAAAACCTTCAACTACCGGTCTTAGAACACTATTTATAGGCTTATAGTTATATACACATACAATTTATTTCGCCTGGTAGCTTTTAATTAATAGGGCACTAATTGCTATTGTACATATCCGTTTCCCAAGCTTTGTCATGATCTCGTAAACTCCCATAGGATAGTAGCAGCCGCAAAAATTGTCGTGGTTTTCCAATGTGAAAAGAGTTTCCATACGGACCACCTCTGTAGCATTTTGTGGCTGACACCGTACATAGCGACGAGCAGTGTGTACATTTAGGGTGAGGGGCATAATAGAAGCGTGAATTGGCTCTGGCGACTTGCTATGCAGCAATGCATAACTGTGCCGTGCCCAAATCTGGCCTTTGTTGCTTCAGGCCACAGCGGCCTCACATCACAAGCAATATTGGCGCTATATTATAGTAAAATGGCATGTTAACTATGATAAAGTAGCCGATGACTGTTGTAAAACTTAGCATTATATCCAAGAATTGAGATAGTAAAAACTAAGTTTTTGTATTTATAATACTCTTTAAAGAATAATCTAACCTAGAACTAAGACAAGCCCTTCTCTAAGGCTCTTAATAGTCTTTTTGAGAAGCAAATTCTTATTATTAAAATTATATTACTTTCTCTTTATACTGCTCTAGGTAGAAATATCTAATCTATTACCTCTAATCTGTTTTTAATATATCCCTTAAAATATATAGTCAAGTGCTATATAAGTTTATTTATACTCTATAAAAAATCTTACCCAACTCTATAGATTCTTTTTATTTTTCTTTAATATTATAGAATTAATATTCTTAGAGGTATTCTCAGTATATATTAGAGATAGTAATATTTAGTTGGTATATAATTATTTAAAAGTAGAGATTAAAGTTACTAGCTTAGAATTTAAATAGCTTAGATTTTATATAGCAGTTCCCCTAGATTAGAGATATATCCCAGAATATAGAGGCCATAGCAATATATATTGCGATCATCCAGCCAGTGTTATTGCTGTGCGAGTTGCTACTGAGTATCCCGTCTCTCTCTAGAGCCGCCAGCGTTACGAGCACCATTCTAGCAATCTGAGATGCAGTCTAGGAGTGTAGTCTATGGGTGATAAAGATTGATTTAAGAAGAGAAGGGGAGTGTATTATGTGGGTGATAAACTAAGGCTATCTGCTAATTAGAAGGAGATATGTTCTTGTATGGGGAGCTTTTTTCAGTCTGTATTTTAATATCTCTCCCTATTTACTACCTTAATCTAACAACTAGACGCAGTAGTTGCTATGCTCTCTAATACCTTTAAGGAAAGTTTAAGAGTGCAAAGTTAAAAAACCTATTTCCCTTAGAGTTATAGCTTAAGATAGAATTATTTAAATATTTATTTATAGTAAAAGTAGTTAGTACTAGTTTTAATAAGCCTATAAATATTAGGTATTTTACTTTATAATTTCTATAAATATTAAAGATTTATAATAATTACTTATTTAAAAATATAATTAGCTTTAAGAAGCTATAGAATATAGCCTAGAAATATCTAGAGATACTAGATAATAGAGAATAAAAAGAGAAAAATTAGCTTTATAGACTATAAGGCAATAAATATCTAGTTAACAGTTCGAGAACTGGCTCTCCCAGCAATAACGCAGTTTCTATCGCAGATATCTATAAAGGCAGGCAAAGCAACCGACAACAGAAGAGGTTAGGGACAGCTATTGAGTCCCAGTGCCTTGATAATATTTCCCTCGGGGCATCAAAGCGGAAGATAGCTGCAGAGATTGCTATGTATGGTAATTCAACCGTCAAGCGAGCAAAGCAGGAGGAAACGAAAGAATCGGTCCTGAAGAGAAAGTGTCGCGAACTTTAGGCTCTGGACTCTGTATAGTACTACGCATTCTAAGGTGTGTAATGAAGAGTCGCGTGCGGGAATGGGCGTCCTTATTTTGTCTCCTGGGTCCTCCTTTTGGTGCTCATGCAGGCCATTAAAAGGCAGCCTCAATATGTGATTGGCCGACTAAAATAGAAGTACCTCCGTACAGGTCCCCTGAATAGGATGATAGGGAGTCATGTTTCCCCACCACCCAAGACGCGCCATCTTCTCGATCAGGCTACCTAACAGAAAACGAAAGACGGCTTAGTGTCGCTGCGAATTTGTCTTTTCCAAAACTCAATACTCGTCTAGCTTACATACGGTAGAGTATTGTTGGCGGAGGGAAATCGGCAGACCTCACTCCTCGCATGCATCACATGTCGGTACTTTTTTCGTAGTGGTTGGGTGTGTCGTTGCGCCTGGCCCTCATAACCCATGAAGCACCTAGAAATACTCGCAAAGGATCACCAAATTGAAGGGCTTCCTACTGGTAAGGTTCTATGACCCAGTTAAAAATCCGGGTGAATCGATATACACCTCATCCTCCATATGACCCGTCACTTTCACACGCGGGCGAGTGGCATCACCCCTTCTAGAGTCAAGGCATCTACCTCTGTTGCCAAAGGTTCCTCGTCACAGAGATACAGGGGCTTTCAGTCTGGTATGCCCAGTGTGCTGGTCCAAGGTGGCAATGCAAAAAGCCTTGCCGGATTAAAATCGACCATCTATGTTGGATGAATGGAATTTGCTCCTCCAGCCCGGGTATGAACTCAGCTGCCACACAAGCTCAACTCGGTACTCAAACCTTTCTGCTCCATCATCCCGAGGGTCGCAATTCGAAGGTAGTTCTTGAAGAGCTACCATTTGATTTCTTGATTAATTACGTGCCTTTCCTTCTATCCTGCGATGTTGTCGGCCAGTAAGATCGGCGAGCCACCTTCAGCTGACCGGACTGCTGGCGAGCTGAACAGAAGTCGACGATTCTGAGGAAACGAGTTTTTGAGTGGAAGTGTTGCTTTCGATGCAAGATAGAGCTTCCTGCTGACCTATCAGGGTTTCAACAAAAGCCAGAAAAATAAGCTAGGAGGAGACGCACAGTACGGATCTGTATCAAACCATTCGACTTGAGATGGCCGAGGAAGACTGCGACTATGTGGCCGTGGGGGAGCACCAGCGGCTTGGACATGATGTAGCTGAATCCAGTTGCTATTGAATCCCACAGAAGACGGAGCTTGCTTATTCGACTTGAGCTTGATACTGTAAACCACCGGCTTGTATGTTGTTGCAATCTGGAAGTGATTAAGGTACTGAGTGATGATAAGGCTTATGTCGAGGAGCACAACCAGGACGTTGACGATGATGAGGTATTAGATAACTTTGCGCGCTGCGATCTTTTTTATGGCTAAGATGGGCTCGAGTCTATGAGATACTTTCTAGATATAAAGACCGGAGATAATGGATTCTTAGATAGAGAACCCCGCAAGTTAGATATACTTGTAGATATTAAATGCGGGAAGAAACCAATTAGATTCTCGAGTGTTGCTGCCGAGAAATAAGACTGTAACCGGGATATAAAGGATATAGAAATTGATAATAATTATAATCAGCACCTACTGGATTTTAGCTTTATCCGAGATAATAAGATAGAGGCGTGAGTAGAGAATAGCAGACTGGCCAGTAACCATACCATACCAACTGATATATATTAGAAAAGCCAGTGGAAGGTTTGGCCCAAGGCTGTAGTAATGTAGCAACACCACTATCGAATGAAGCGCAATTCCCAGTGTCGCTATAACCATACTCCAGAAATAGAGCCCATCGTGGCGCTTAAAGCGGTGGAGCAGCGAGATGAGGATTTCGACGCAGTTATAACACACAATCGCGAAGAAGCCGGCAATGATTATGTCGACCGGCAACGACGCCGAGATGGGACCTATTTCCCCGGCCATCTTGGCTGCCGTGGGACCTGGATAGGGAGGACCAAACTGGTCATGGCACGATGGGGAGAATGGCAGGAAAAAATGAATGAGAAGTACCAGAGGAAGAGTTGTTGATAGAGGCGAAGGAATGCGGCTCTTATGTGCTGCCCGAGCAATAGTATAAGAAACCCTCTTGAGAATCCCTCATGGAGCTTTCCCCATGGCGCTCCCCAGCCCCCCTCCCCCAGGCTAAGCCCATTAGGATCGAATTGTGACGGCACGGCGGTCCCCCCGAGACATGGGCAGTCGGCTCAGGATCCAGTTGGCTCAGGATCATGTTTTCTCGTCATTCGTGGCTGAAGCCATTGGCCAGCTTGACAGCCCCCTGTATGAGGTAATTTTGCCTAACTGGCACCAGGGAGGTCGGTAATGCCGATCCTAGCCAGCAGCGCCATATTCATGGAGACATCGGGGTGAACGCTGTCATTTGACTAGCCCACGGGTCGCGTTTAGTGCAAGCCACTTTGACACGGAAAACAAGGGTTCATGCGAATTTCCCCATGCTAATGCGGTATTTGCCGGACGGGACTCGTTGGAGTTGCATCACGAACGGGCTGACTCGAAGTCTTGACAAATGCGAGGCTCATTCTCATCGTCGCTAGACCAATCATTCATGGAGTCGTTTGCATCCATCCATCATCGCGTTGACAGGAGAGGCAAACTGTTGGACAGTGGCAAAAGGAAGCTCATGGAAGTAGCTTGAAAGGCTTATAAATATTGTCATCAAAGATGACAGTTGCCACCTATTGCCACAGGCTTAGCAAGCAGCTTCCAGTTGATTCCACATAGCACAGAAAAGGCATATAGAGCTTGCTCCGAAACCTCAACTAGCAAGCGGGACACAGTTAGACAACAATATGAATAACACGCAATTCACCCCAATATCTAACACAAACCGGTCGCGGTTTGCGCAAGGGAGCCTTGAGGAACGAAGTTGGATAAGGGCGATCTTGTGGGCAGAGAGCGCCGAAAAAAATGCGACGTTTTGAATGTGAATCAGGCGGGGGTGCTGTGATGCTGTTAAAAGGCCATATACGAAGCAAAAGGTGCCCTTGATTCGCAAAATTAGATACTTCTGAGTGGCGCCAATTTGTTAGAAGTATGAAGTCACTTTTCTTCCCCCTAACCCTAACCCTGCTCCAAAAAAACCAGATATCCCAGGCCACTGCATCGACATAAACACATTTTACATGTTTAGCACGACCACAAATATTGTATTTGACATTGCCATCTATGTCATGCCGCTACAGATCCTCTGGCATCTAAATCTTAAGTAGCTAGATATTGGTGGCGAACACAATATTGACCATTCGACAGTACCCAAGGCAACGGATGGGATTGGTATTGGTGTTTGCGCTGGGTTTCCTGTAAGTGTCTTCTCGGCCAAGTCAGTGAGTGATTTGCCGTGGGTCTTAACGGTAAGAAGTGATCTAGTTGCAAGTGTCTTCCGCCTGGTAACTCTTGTGCATTTGTTATATGCCCCGGATTGTAAGTCTCTTCCCTAGTCTTCCCAAACTTGATGGCTGATTGTGAATCTAGACCGTGAAGATAATACCTGTAAGGAAACTTCAATCTGCCTTTGAATGACTACTGACAGTTACCTAGGGACTACTGTGCGCCCCCATTGACACATCTTCACCCATTGCCTGGTTCTAACTGCGATATTAGGTGCAATCATTGAACTGGTCATCTGTAGAAATCCATGTCGCCCATGTCGCCCTCGTCTTATCTTGCACGTGCACATTTAAGACACTCATTCAGAGATTCCTTCCAGGTGTTCTTGAGATAACTTCTAGCTCAACAAATAACATCATCTCTCGTGGTTGGCCACGCCGTACCAATGACGGTGCTCCAGTCTGTCAGCCACAATGAGCCGAGCGTCAACACTGCCACGTGGGAGTATTCCAATGATGCTGATGAAATTGGGAGTCAGAAGGCATTGTCGAAGATGTGGAGAATACTCGGCACCACTCTCGTCCTTGTTGTTGCCAGTCAAGATTGGCACGTTGTTGGCTGCACCGTGGAGCAGGGTGTTCATGTAGGTGTCGGGCATAGCATAGCCATCCAAAACAGCTCCGAAAATGCCGTCGCGGAAGTCACTATAGTCCAAAGCGCGGAGTTCCTCCAAAGAACTAACGTTGAGCTGCGACACATAGCTCACACCGTTCTCCAGGGCTGCGTCAAGAGTTCGGTGTTCTCAGCGAGGCCGGAGCAGAGAGGGTCTTTGGGATATCACGAACTGCTTGGATTTCACCATTTAGCGCAGCAGGATGACGAGAAAAAGGCATGTGCTCGCATGCTTGCCAGACTGACAGCTAACGTAGCAAAGGCGACTGGAGACTGGGGACTTAGCGCACGGAGTTGGGAAGATGCACTATAACTCCCAGTTAGAGATGATGGACTGGAGGAGAATTAGTGAGACTTTGAAACACTCAGTGATGAGAGACCAATTTCGAGGAGACGTAGCATTTTGGGATTTATTTTTCTCATGGGCTTTGAGGCAGCTATTCCCACCACTCGATCCCCGATCTTGACCTCAGTATTCCGCCAAGCATTAGGTGTCCCAGTGCTCAACATCACACTTGCAAGCTACCTAGCCGGCTTGAACTCTACGGTTAGGTTTGAGGGGGCAACCTCGTGTTGCTCTTTGAATATGAGCATAGGTGAACAGGTGGATAGCACACAGTTGCCAAGGGAGCAGGGCAGCTGGTAGTGTACCTTTTGGTCCCACGTTGGTCGGCAAACGATACGCCCATTCTTCGGTGTCGTCTGGGTTGTATGTATGTGTTAAGCTAGCGAGGCAAAATAGGAGCTCCATGCCTAAGGGTTGGATAGATGTGGTAGATATGCCTGGTCCCGTGATACGAGAAGGGTTGGGACCGTAGGTCATGATGTGTGTAAAGAAGGAAAGATGATCTCTACAGCTAGCTAGCTACGGTCGGAGCCGTAAGGGCTCCGACCCACAGACCCGAGGCCTGAGGCATCAAGCCCAGTCCCTGGCTGTGAGGCCAAGGAAAGGGCTTTCCGCATCATCCCGCAACAGTATGTATATACAACTTTGTGATAGTGATGCCGTGTCCAGATGTCGATGCAGGACGAGGGCCTATTGTATGCATCTGCAAGGAGTATATGATGTTGGCTTAAATCAACTTGCGGCGACTGGGCGCGTAAGCGTTCGTACGGATAGTGTCACATCTATGGCGGTCATGGCGGTCATGGCGGTCATCGCCGACTAAGATGCCTTATTTTCCTTTCTTTTGCTATCACGGCTGCCGCCGCCCTCCGTACTCAGGATGTAGTCAAATTCCTCTTTAAATACAGGTGTTTAGACCTTCAATTAGATAGAAATCAAAAGATTCTACACACATCCAATGCACCCTTCCTCCTCAGATGCAACGGGTAGACTGGTGAGGCGTTAACATCACTGAGGCAGATTTGCCCCTCCCCTTCCCTACCTCTACAGTATTAGCCCCTGGCAGGAGGCTTTTCAGCCTTCTGGGAGCACAGCCAGCGTTCCGCCTCTTGGACATGGCGAGTCACACTCCTAGCCACTGTATGTCTTTCGCTCAGACAGGTGGCGTTTGCCTCGAGCCTAACAGATAGCCATAATACCGTTTCGCCGTCTGTATACGGGCACCAATCCGGCGGGAGGTTCCCCGGGGGGTTCCGCAACCAGGGGCCCAAAATACCACTTCTATAATGCCAATTTCCACTTTTTAGACAGTCGTCACAATCTGCACCCAGACAAATATACCAGATACAGTTGCAAAAGGCAGGCTGCTCAACATCAGGAAAGGGGAGACTGCAGGTGACACTCATGGTGGTGGGTGTTGGCCCCAACTGGTGGCTTTGCAGCGCATGGCCCCGACGTCAGAAAGCTCTGCTTTGGATCGGATGCCAGGTTGGGACCAGGCGGTCACAACTAGCAGAACCATGACGTACCCACCTTTTCCCTCCTATCATACGTGGAGCGTGCCGCTGAGGATCGTACCCACGGTCCTGGATCGCTACGATCCCACGCGTCATACGATCACCCCAAACTGCACAGTATATAAACACTTTCATAAGACACTAGAATAGCTCTACGCTCCTCAGCTATCAACAGACTTGGTTACACGAACTACCTTCTGCACATTACCAGACCCGTGACCTACATTGCGCAGAACTCACATGTGCCTAGTACACTGGTAGCATAAACCAATCAGGTTTGACCTGGGGATCCACACTCCCGCCAATCTGAATCGAGAAGGCCGTGCAGCCCTTTTACAAAATAGCTCCGCTGTTGTGAACGGCCCAGTTGGTGTCTCGCCTGCACTCAGAAGGACGGTTTAAACGCCGTCCTCGCCACTTCTCGCTGTCAGCCTGTCACACCGCTGCAGCTACCGAAGGAGCTCAGCTTGCCTGCCCCCCATCCTCTCCCGTCCCCGCGGACAGCAACCGGTTTCTATTATTATTGAGTCAGCCAATAGGCTCGGGCACGACCGCGTGAAGGAGTAACTGCGCATGAAAAATCTCCACAAAGACTTCGGGCCCATCCCTGACTTCGCACCGAGCGGGCAGCCCAAAGCGGCAACAGCTTATCTACAATGAATTTGGGTCTGTGTCATATTTTAGGCCAATCACCGCGTAGACAAGGCTCGCATGGTGGGTCGATTTCTCGGCCGCCGTACCCTGCCTGATTACGTTGGTTGGTATGCCACTTGCAGCCTTCTTTTTGCTATAAATAACCCCGTCCGCAAACTCCGCACCCGCCCGCGAGGTTCCCCCCGCCCGCAAAGTTGTCCGCCCGCAAAACAACCAACTCGCCTGCAAAGCCATCGGGCCAAATGCCTCAGCATCATGGAAAGTGACAGGCGCACCCTAGCAGTCCGTGCTTGCGTAGCATGTCGCAAACAGAAACGAAAATGCACCAGAGAGGTTCCCGAATGTTCTCTCTGCTCCAAAAATGGACGGCCTTGCGAATACGCTGTCGGTAGCCGTGCGGCACCTAATCCCGACCATCACTCGCGTGTCGCTCCTCGAATCCAGAACCCGACTGTAATGCCTGTACAGACCGTCGATTCCGCAGCAACAACGCCTAGCTCCAATGAACCCACTGCCCCGAGGCTCTTGCCAGTTGAAAACCACTTTCCTCTGTTTTTTCTCGATTCTAGTTATTTTCAGCACACAAACTCCCTGCTACAGATGCCAACGATTGAACTTCCTCCCGAGTTTGACTCTATTGGTGCCCAATCAAACATGCACGATGTTGACGTCTATTTCAGTTCTATCCATACGTTCTTGCCGATAGGTCAGTCCGTCTTGCAGCATCCTTTGTGCTCATGACAGCAACAGGTGCGCTTACTTTAAGATAGTCTCGAAATTGCGACTGTATCGAGAGCTCTCTGCTCCACAGAATTGCCGAAACCCCGACACAGCGCTTCTTTTGATCACCATACAACTGCATACCCGGTCTCTGGACAGTTCAGACCCACCGAACCGTGAGCTCTATGGGCTCGCCAAAGCCTGTTGTTCTCATGTCGAGAGGAGCAATATTTTCTCCATTCGGCTGTTACAAGCCACACTTCTTATCACTTTATACGAGATAGCGAATGCGATATACCCAGCGGCCTATGTCAGCGTAGGCCATTGCGTAAGATTGGGCCACGCTATAGGTATCCACGATTTCAAGAGAGCACCTCAGATGCTTCGCACACCAAGTAGGCATATGCTTTTGCATTTTATTTTCTGCCTCGTTTCTAATTTCAAGAAGCATCAGCTACTGAGTTGGAAGAAAGGCGACGAGTTTGGTGGGCTGTGATTGTGCTAGACAGGTATGCTTGTAGAACCTGCTTGGAGTCAGTTGCTGAATAAACAGATATGTCAATGTCGGCGGTAAACATCGACCATTCTCGTGCGACGATGTCCGACCAGATGAGCTACTTCCTGTGGATGACAAACATTGGGATCAAGGGGTATGGTCTGAGTCTAAACCCTAGAAAAAAAAAACTAATTTGACGCAGGAACTCGCCCTTGTCCAACCCCTTGCAGTATCAACTAGCACAACAGTGAAAATTTGTCCCTTTGGGAGAACTTGCCAAGCTTCTCATTTGCTGTCTCGTGTCCTGCGGCATATAAGCGACAGGGACTCTGATATTGAGTTTAGATGTAACGAAGCTCTGCAACTTCGTCGCACACTGCAGGCGCTGGCTGCCACAATTGCCAACGAATCCGAAGAACTCCTAGGGCACGTGAACGATGCCACGGCTGACCTGCCCCTTTTTACTGCAACGGCATTGTGCCATAGTGCGTTGCTTGGCCTTTACGAAACGTATTGTTGCACTGAAAACAGCGAGGCTAACCAAATGGGATGCGAAAATTTGCTGGAGATGCAAAACCTAGCTATATCAGGCCTGAAGGAAATATCAAATGCCGTGTTTCTATTTTCCAAACGCCTTCAGGCCGTCACAGAGTTGGGAGGAATGCTGAGAATGACTCCTTTGGTCTGCGCCTGTCTTTATCAAGCTGCCGGAAACTATTTATGGTACACCTTGGAAACAGGTGGTCAAGATTACCTCTCTATGGCCAATACTATCAAAAGTGTGCTGAGTATTCTGGGTACAAGATGGAATTCCGCTAGTAAGTTTGGTTGGTACTAATCCTGTCTTGACGTTGTCTTGCTAAATACACAATAGGGGAGTATGTCGCGATTCTTGACGGTGTTGACTACTCGGGAATTCATAACTAGGCTGGCAAAGGCTTTTATTGGCTTTTCTAGACGGCTCCTCTCGCCGAACTTAGAGAGAAAGCCTCCACATAATTTTGTATACTCTCTCCATTCAATCCTTAATCCACTCACGTTTCTTTATCTCGGTGGTAGTCCATTGCCACAATCGGCCGCGAGCTCTTCGTAATTCGCGTGACTGCTTGTGTTCTCCTTCTTCGCTACAGGTTCAAAATACCGCTTACTCTCGTTTTGATTGAGCTCGGTAGACACAATCGCGAATAATGTGTTAAAAAGATCCTTCTTCGGGCGTCTTCGTTACTCGCAAACACTTTAGAATAGAGTATATGATGTAAGACACCACTGGCTGCTTGACGAGGTCTATTAATAAAGTCAGGATGTACTGCAGCTATCCAGATAGCCGTCGACTTATCAGCTGAGCCCTATGGACCAAAGAACTTAGTAAGATATTTCGCATGTAAAATATTTACGAGTTTACCCATCCCATACGTCTCGAGACTCCACCGCTAACTTAATCCATATCGTCGAAATCAATCCCGGAATTCGCGCGGGCTTTATGTCCATTGCTGCATGATGTTGACTATTCTAGAATTTCCAGGCTGAGCGTCGGGTTCGATTGCCATCTTAGCCAACGTATCCAAAAAAAAAAACCCCAAAAAAAACCCAAGTCAAGAGACAACGGCTTAGTAGTTCGTCTGCCATTGTGCCTCAAAGCCATCCACAGGGCTTTTGGCAAACGATGTAGCCATGATTCCTGGGTTATTGACCAATCCGTTTAGTCTGTTCTCCCGACTTTTAAACTCTTCAGCCGCCTTCACTACAGAGGGCAGATCCATCTTCATGAAATGAACATCGGCCTCGAGAGACTCGGTCTTGATTTTGGAGATGGCAGCAGAAGCCTTGCCCGGTGATTTTGGCCCCATGTACAAGCGAACTCCTCGTAGGGCAAGTTGCAATACCGTCTGTACCCAATCCCAGCGTTTCAACCGGTCACGAGCTAGACTTTGCCACGAAGGGAGAGAAGGGCGGCAGGCGTGAAGACCATGGTAATTGAAAAATGGAGGTTGAGGTGGGAAATTTAGCATGTAGTAATTGAAAGGAAAATTCGGTCACTGACCATGGCAATTGGCAACTATGCCTGGAGGAACTTGTTCCGGAAGGTTCTTTTTCCGAGCTTTTCCATGCCCACACACGAAGCACGGACCAGTTTGCTCTTTTTACAGTGTCATTTATTTATTTTTACTGCCCCTTTTTACTGTGAGCTTATACGCTTCGCTTTTAGCCAGGGTGGTGTGTTTGGGTCACGTGCCTCTAGGCCTGACAGAATCTGTCAGACTCGTGACCAGCGGCGAGACGTCCTTCACTCTCCTCAGGAGCCTCCTTACAGTTTGTGGTTTCTTCGAGGAAGAGACATACAGACTTTTACTATCATAAGTCTATCGTACCTGTGCAAGAAAAAGAGATATTAAGGGATATTGCTGCCTTATGGCTTATAAATGTAGGTAACTGCCAAGGTACATGCTACGACTTGGCCTCAGAATCCTCGGAATCGCACCAGAGAGAGGGTCATCTTCCTAGTCGACTTCAGTTACCGAGGTAGACTCTGTTATAGCATCCCAGTCCTGAAACCAGCTCTCGTGTCTGTAGTCACGCTCGAAGCGCTGCCTTATCTCGTCCCCCAGCCTCTCCAGCTTATAAACGCCGTCTCTTATTTATCTATCTAATATATTCTTCAGTTTGATAAAATCGCCTCGTGCTGGTTTCTAGAAGAGATACAGCCCCTCCTACCTCTCTGCCCTTAAAAGCTATATATATAGACTTATAAAACTAGGTCTTATTGCTATGCTGCTGCTGTAAATACCTTTAAGATTAAGAAGGATCTTGTAACGGTCGGGTCTAACCTGAGGGTATAGGGTAGGTCCGAGGCGTGTAGTATATAATCGAGTAGATTAGGATATTATAGTAAGCAATATAAATTACAGTCTGGTAATAGTAGAATAGTAGATTTAATATAATTAAGTATATTAATAGCTAGTAAGGCTATCTATCTATAAAAGTACTAAATGAGTATCTATATACTAGTAATATTTATATAAGCTTATTAAGTAAGAGTAAGTCCAATCTTATAGCTTATTTTAAAGAAGTAAGTTAAGTATTTAGGCTTATTTATATAAAGTAAGTTTAGAATTTATATTAAATAAAAAAGTAGGTATATTATAATTTTACTAGTTATAATTATTTAATTTTAATCTAGGCTATAATATAATATCTCTTTTTTTATTAATTATATTTTATAATTATATTTAAGATTTTTTTTATATATATATTAATATATCTTTAACTTACTTTCTTAATTATTTTAATATATTAATAAAATATCTAGTTAAATTTTAAAGTATCTTTTAAAATCCTATAATATCCTTAAGTTTATAATAAGTAAATTAATTTTAGCTATTTTTATAGAAGAATTTAAGATTCCAGCTTTTACTATAAATATACTAATTCTTATTACTACTATTAAGAAGTTTAATTTTAAGATAATATCTTATTCTTATTATATTATCTATAAATATATATATAAGATATTAAATAATAATTTTAAGAAGTATAGCTTTTATACTAATAAAGGTTATTTTTATAATATAATTAGTATTTTTTTTTATTTATATAAGTTTTTAAACCTAGTTTTATTATTTTCTTTACTTAAAATAAAAATAGTAACTCGGGTTATTTTTAAGGTAAAGTACCTTAATAATAAAAAGTTAAAGTTAAAAGAGGAGTTTCTTAAAAAGCAAGCTATTTTTTAAGCTACTTAGGCTAAATTTAACTAATTTCTAGACCTTTTAAAGTATACTTACTACTAGTATTAATCTTTAGTTACTTAGAAGTATAAAATAACTTATTATAGCTTAAAGTTTTTAAAGAAGTTAGAGGCCTTAAAATAAGTAGAGTTAAAGGCTACTATTAATCTTTAGTTATTAGTATATACTGATATTATTAACTAGCTATCTCTTAGTCTTAATAATAATTCTTTTTTTACTTAACTTTTTTTTATCTTTTTTTTTAATATTAATAAAAATCCTTTAGAAGGTATTATATATAGATAATATTTTTTACTAGTTTTTATTAATTATTACTCTTAGAGTAGTTTTTCTACTTAATAAGATATTCTATTTAGTTATTAATTCTTTATTATTTAAGAATTTCTTTAACTTTATATTCCTCTAAGCCTTTAACCTCTATTTTATATTTATTATTAAACTTAGCTATAATATTTTCTTTTATACTTTTAAAAAGTAAAATATAGAAGATAAAATAAAGTCTAACTTTTAATAATAAGTTCAAATAATAGTTATTTTCTAAGATTTTTTTAAGAATTTTATAAATTCGATATATTTATAATTTAGTTTTTTATTTTATTATTTTATTTTAATATTTTTTATTATAAGAAGGATTATATCTCTTTTTTAAAAGAATAGTTCTTTATTCTTTTTTAATTATAGTATTTTTTTATTTAGTTTCTAATAAATTTAAGTTTAATTTTTATTTCTTTATATAGATTTTTTAATTTTTCTATTATAAGAATAGCTTTAGGAATAATTAATTTATCTTAATTTATTTTATAGATATCTAGAGTAAATTTAAAGTTAGTATATATTAAAGTAAGCTTTATACTTTTATATATTAATATATTATAGCTTAGCTATATAATTAAAAGCTTCTTAATCTAGTTATTCTATTTTATTACAGCCCAGGTTAACCAGGCAGTCAGTTCTAGCAGTAATCCTATAGATACCTACTTTTCCTATCTAATAATATATAGAGTATTACACTAAAAATTATACCTACAATTCTAAATTATTACAATTCTAGAATTATTATAATCCCACACTCTATACAATCCAATTAATCCCTATCTAGTATATAGATACTTATTTAGCACTTTTATAAATAGATAGCCTTACCAGCTATTAATATACTTAGTTATATTAAATCTACTATTCTACTATTACCAGACCGTAACTTATATTACTTACTATAATATCCTAATCTACTTAATTATATACCCTATACTAAGAACCTACCCTATACCCTTAGGTTAGACCCGACTATTATATATTAATAGCTCTTATTAGTATATTACTATATCGACCTAAGTAATATCTTAAATTAGTTATTATAGCTCCTATAACCCTGCTATTACTTCTTTTTTATTAAAGAATCAAGTACTAATTATAATAGTAATATTAATATTATCTTAGAAGAAGAAGAAGAAAAGAGGAAGTTACTAGAAAGATATAAGAAGTCTTAAAAGGCTAATAAGAAGCTATCTAACTAGCTTAATAATCTTTAATACCTCTAAGGTAAATATAGAAAATAATAGCAGTAAATTAATATCCTAATAGAATAATATAAGAATCTGCTTAGTATAATAATAAACTTACTATAGAACTTATAGATAGAAATCTATATATAAGAACTTTATTAAAAATACTATATCTAATATAGCTAGAGGTAAAAATACTAGAGAAATTCTTTAACTATATTATCTGATTCTTATAATAGTATAGCTAGTAAACTTATAGGGATTTCTTATATAGCTATAAGCCTACTAACTATACTATTTAATATAATTTAAAATAGATAAAGTTAAAATCTAATATAAAATGGGATTTCTTAAGAATAAAGCCCTATAATAGTTTAAACCTATTATAAGAAACTATATTAATAATACCTATAATTAGTAAAAAGAAGAAACTAGAGCTATTATAGAAGCTATATAATTTTTAAGTATAAGCTTAAAAGCTTCTATAATTTCTAAGATAAAAAATAAATAGCTAAATAGTAAATCTAAAAGCTTAAGTAAAAAGAAGCTATATCTATCTATATAGCTAAATACTATAATTCTATATTATAACTTAATTAAAAGAAAAAGCCTTTATAATAAGCTTCTATTAGAAATTAAAGTTAGAAGTTAAAAATACTATAGTTAAAAAGAAAAAACCCACTATCTATAATAGACTTATAATACTTACTATAGAAATTAATAACTAATAATTTAAAAGATAATAAGAAAAAAAACTAAGAAGTCTAGAGGAATATATATATAACCCTAGAAAAATAAAAAGTATAATATAAACTAAGGAAAAAGATACTAGAGTAATACCTCCTATAAAATTAACCTAGCTCTATAAATTAGAAGCTGTCTAGAAGATTACTTAAAGATTAAATACTAAAACTTAGAAAGATAGGCTACTTTAAAAGTAAATAGCACCCTAAAGACTAACTAAAATACAAGCCTATAGAAGGTAAGTATATATAATTTACTAACTACTAATACCCCGACGACAATAAACCTCAAATTGCTATTTAATTTAAAATTCTTATTATAACCCGGAGCGGCTATAATAGAGAGTTTAATAGAGCCTATAAGAATAATAATTAGGAGGTTAAATGCCTTAATAATATACTATCCCTCAGCTATATACTCGGAGAATACCTAAGGAAATTAAGAATAATACTAAAAAAAAGGTATAAAAATAAGCTATATAGTATAAGAAAATAGATAGTAAAACTAAAGCAGAATAATAAATAAACTAGAAAAAAAAGAAACTATAGCTAAAATAAAAATAAAGATATCTAGAAATAATCCTACTTAGAATAATACTAGTACTATAAATAACTTAATAATAAAATATCTATACTATAGCTATATATAATAAGAAAACTTAATTTCTAATAATAACTTAGACTATTATACTACCCCAACTAATAGAAATAGAGAGTAATAATATTAAAAATATAAGAAAAAGAATAATCTCTAATAATACTTTTATATTAGAATAAAATACCTATAGTATACCTAGATAAGAAGTATATCTAGCTAGAAAGCTAGAACTTCTAGTAGCTAATTAGATATTATTACTCCTATTAAAGAATACTAGAAATAAAATAAATAAGACTCTAAACTTAGCTATAGAGAATACTAGATATATAATAGCCTTAAAATTAAATATAGATAAAATTAATAGAAATATATAATAACCTTTATAAATAAATAATAAGAATCTATAGAGGATAAGCCTATTTATATTTGTTCCTATAATATACAGCTAGGCTGAAACTATACTATATAATTCTAAAGAAATAAAAGAAT